ATGCTCTATCCACTGAGCCAAACCGGTTTGGCCGTTGGTTAATTCTTATATGTGCCCTGATTGGGGATCAAACCCAGAACTTTGGCATATTGAGTCGATGCTCAAACCAACTGAGCTACCTAGCCAGGGCTGCAGTTATTTCTAAATACAGTTTTGTTTTGTTTTTAATTCTCACCTGAGGATATTTTTTCCATTGATTTTTTACAAAAAGCGGAAGAGAGGAAGGGAGGGAGGCAGAGAAAGAAACAGCAAAACCGACCAGCTGTCTTCCCACGTGCCCCAACAGGGGCCTGGGATGGAACCTGCAACCAGGTACTTACCCTTGAGCTGGAATCAAACCCAAGACCCTTCAGTGCGCAAGCCAACATCCAACCACTAAGCCATACATATTGGCCAGGGCTTAAATACAACTTTAACAAACATGGTTGTCTAGTTTCCAAACCCACAGTCTGTTTTAAAAACAGCACATTTTTCCCTGGATGGTGTGGCTCAGTTGGGTGTCGTCCCATGCACCAAAAGGTTGCTGATTCAATTCCCGGTCAGGCATGTGCCCAGATAGGGAGGATGCAGGAGACAGCCAATAGATGTTCTGCTCTCACATCAATGTTTCTCTTTCTCTCTCCTTCTCCCTTCCTCTCTCTAAAAACCAATAAAAATATTTTTAAAAATTAAAAGAGTTCATTTTATGGCAGTTTTTCTAGAGAGAAGGGAATGTAACAGGCAATCAAACTGATAGCTCACAACAAGTGACACAAGACAAAAAAACCAACAAAGAATTTTAGGGGCCAGCTGGTGTGGCTCAGTGGTTGAGCATCGACTTATGAACCAGGAGGTCACGGTTCAATTCCTGGTCAGGGTACATGCCCGGATTGCAGGCTCGATTTCCAGTGAGGGATGTGCAGGAGGCAGCCAATCAATGATTCTCTTTCATCATTGATGTTTCTATCTCTCTCTCTCTCTTCCTCTCTGAATTCAATGAAAATATATATATTTTTAAAAAAATTTAGGATCACTTATTCACATCATAGCAAATGGCTCTAAAATCCTCACTGGGTGCAAAAAGCATTTTATATGTTTAGGAAAATTACCATAATAATTAATGTCCATAATTATGATCCTAAAGATAAAATTATATTACATGTTTTAAGGAGTCAGGAAAGAATGTTTTTGAAAGACTCAGAATCAATTTTAAATTATTAAAATAACTCTTTCAGAGGTATTCAACTATTCAGAAAACCATCTTGGATCATTTCTTCTTTGGAGATTCCAAATAGGTAACAAACACACACACTGTCTTTTTCTCTCAACTGTACATAAACTTAATATACTATATCATTTTTCTATTTCTAGAGGTATTTTATTTGGAAGATAGTAGAGAAGTTAAAATTTCTAACATGCCCTTACTATATTAATGGTAACACATAAAAACCAGCGTAACATTTACCATTTTCTAAGGACTGACTATTACTCAGTAGCTTTGCCTGTCGTCTTTCCAAGGCCAGCTGTTTATTTCTCTGAATTCTTTGTTGTTGCTCTTCAGTTAGGCTTCTACTTGACTCAGAAGCAAACGTCACATTTTCAGATGAGTTTGTCAAAAATGGATCTAATTCAGTAGCAGTTACATCATGGTCACTATTTTCCACTACTTCATCTGCAGTAAGAAAAAAAAAAGTGAGTACATCTCTAGTATTAAACTAGTTAGAAAAAGAGCTTATATAGCTATTAATTTAAAACCAGTTTATAGTGACAAGGTGCAGACCAGAAAAAACAATTGGTGAGGCATGAGAATGTTACAAACATGCTTGATTCAAACAAGTAAAAGGAATATTTATAAGTCACTTTAAAGAGGCATTTTAAGTCAAACGAAAACAATAATTTAAAAATATACATGAACGGCTCTGGCTGGTTGCTCAGTGGTTAGAGCATCGACCTGCTGACTGAAGAGCACAGGTTCGATTCTGGCCAAGGGCACGTACCTCAGTTGCAAGCTCAATTCCTGGTGGTAGTCGGGGTACGTGCAGTGGGCAACCAATCGATGTGTGTCTCTCACATCGATGTTTCTTTCTGTCTCTCTCCCTCCCACTCTTTCTAAAATCAATGGAAGCCCTAGCCAGTAGGGAATATAACATTCCAGTGTATACAGAAAAGGCAAATTCTTTAATCAAATAAATAGTATTTGATTAAATACTATTTAATCCCTTCCCCTCTGAAATCAATTTAAAATAAATAAATAAATAAAAATCAATGGAAAAATATCCTCAGATGAGGATTAAAAAATATATATGAATG